CTTCTTCTTCTTCTTCTTCTTCTTCTTCTTCTTCTTCTTCTTCTTCTTCTTCTTCTTCTTCTTCTTCTTCTTCTTCTTCTTCTTCTTCTTGTAAATCTGTAGCTCCTTTTATTGTGGAGATGTAGCTTCCCCCTCTACCTTTGCAATGAAAAGGGCTAGAGCGGTTTAAAAAAGAAAGGTGGAAATTCAGAGGACCTGATACATAGATTGATGATATTCAATTGTCCATAGAACGGAAAACTGAGAAGCCCCTGGGGGCAGGGGGAGGAGAGGAAATAGCTGCTGCAGGAATGAGGGCAGGGAAAATGGCCTCCGTGTGAGCTTCCCCAGCCAAACTATGCTCTGCTGTGATCATTCCCAAAACTTCACAGCAAAGCAGGTTTGGGAAAGACTGGAGACAAGCCAGGAGAAATCACCGGAGGTCCACGGGGGCACCACGATGGATGAAAACCACTTCCCAACAGCTTGATCCCTGTGCGGAAACAGCTTTTGTGTTGCAGAGCTAGAAAGCAGAGCTGTAATCCTGGTACCTGTTCTAAGTCAGCTACAATTTTACAAAACATGGTGAAGAAGACTGCATCGGATATGACAGTGACCTGAGGGTTTCCAGCATCTCTGAGATTGGGACAGCTGTCTATAGCCCCCTTCTTATCCTCTCCTCTCCTTGTTTTCCAGCTGAATCGCCCACCAGTGACTTATGAGCCCCTGAATGAAATCCAGGTGGCAGAGATCAACTCTCAAGTCCGTCGGTTCCTGGAAGGAACCATAGATGAGCTCGACGTGAGTAGCTTTCATGGGGGTGTGCTCATTTTTACCACTTTGTGTTGAAACAATAACTAATTGTACTTCAGTAGTAGTAGTACACTTATTACGGCATCGAGCCAAGCATGAACCAAAACACATTTAGATACAAAGTTATAAAATCTGGGTAAAATGCAACAAATACAATAAATATATTTAAAACCATAGAAAGTGTTTGACAAACCCAGCAGAGAAATAGAAAAGGCAATTCTAACGCGATAGCATGCCGCTGTCAGGTTCCCCAGTCAAATACTCTTTCCACGCACTTTCTTCAGTGAATATTGTATGGCTGTCTTTCAGCTGTGCTCCTGCAGTGAGCAGGGGGTTGGACTAGATGACCTGCAAGGTCCCTTCCATCTCTATCATTCTATGATTCTTCAATCCTTTCTTCTTTCCCTGTCTTTCCCCAGATTGTGAGCCTCAGACAAATCCATGAAATCTTTAACCAGTTCAAAACCATCTTGAGGTAAGTGCTTGGCACATCGCTCCAACTGAGGTCTTTCGAAAACCTTGGGCTGCAGTCTGTGGATGGAGGAGGGTGACCGCTGGTGTGATCAACAGACAGGATTTCCCCCCCCCTTAGACAAACATTCTCCTATAAACACACATTATAAGAACATCAGAAGAGCCCTGCTGGATCAGACCAATAGTCTATCTAATCCAGCATTTTGTCTCACACAGGGGCCAACCAGTTCCTCTGGAGGGCCAGCAACAGGGCAGAGAGGTTGAGGCCTTCCCCTGATGTTGCCTCTTGGCTCTGGGATTCAGAGGCTTAGTGTCTCTGAATGTGGAGGATCTCCGTCGTGGTCTCTGTGCTTCACACCAGTGGGATCTAGTGCGGACGCGCTGGATCGATCGGTGCTGTAGCATGCTCTTTTAACTGAGTTTCGCCCCCCCCCCCCCCCCCCCCCGGGCAAGCGCAGGAACCCCGGGCGTGCGCACTAGATCCCATTGGTGTGAATGCACAGACGACCACTCGAAGATCACCAGTTACTGGTAAGCAACCTGCTTTTCCCCTCAGTCACCATGGCTAGTACACTTTGATAGACTTATCCTCTGTGAATCTCTCTCATCCCCTTTTCAAGCTGTTTATTCCCGGGGCCATCACTACACCCCCTGGCAGCGAATTCAGCTTTTTAACCACTCTCTGTGTCAAGGAGTATTTCCTTTTTTCCGTCCTGAACCTACTGCCCATCAGCTTCATTGGATACCCTCAAGTGCTAGTCTTTTGTCCACTCTCTCCACCCCCCGTGCATAATTCTATAAACCCCTGTCATGTCCCCCCTTAGTCGTCTCTTTTCTAGACTGAAGAGTCCCAGACTCTCCGGCCTTTCCTCACGGGGAAGGCGCCCCAACCCCCCCCCCCCCCCCCTTGGTCCCCCCCCCCTGTACCTCCTCTGTACTTTCCCCAGCTCTGCAATGTCCTTTCTGAGTTACAGTGACCAGGACTATGTACAGTCAGGGGTCATTTCCTGCAGGAGCGCACAGGAGCCGAGCTCCGGCAGTAAAGAGACCAGGGGGCGGGTACATGCAACAAGCCCCACCCCCTGCTCCCAGCAGCCCTCAGTCAGAGCAAGGAGCAGCCAGGTCAGTTGCAGAGCTCCCCCTGACCCACCGGTCCAAAACAGTCCAGTGGCACCTTTCAGACCAAGTTTTATTCAGGGACAAGCTCTCCCTCCTCTGCAAGGACAGATCTGCATGTCCCCCCCCCCAATAGATAGCAATCCAAAACAGTCCAGTGGCACCTTTAAGACCAAGTTTTATTCAGGTACAAGCTCTCCCTCCTCTGCGAGGACAGATCTGCATGCCCCCCCCCCCAATAGCTAGCAATCCAAAACAGTCCAGTGGAGCCTGAGTGGTGGGTGTTGCCTTCTGACACACTCCCGGTGATGTCAGGGGGTGTGGCATATGCAAATGAGTTATGCTACTGAGTTATGCTAATTAGCTCCTGCACCTCTTTTTCTACGAAATGACCCCTGTGTACTTCCAAATGAGGCTGTGCCATAGATCTATACAGAGAGGCATTGCAGTGTTGGCTGTTTTATTTTCAGTCCCTATCCTAATAATCCCCAGCATAGAGTTTGCCTTTTTCACTGCCACTACACACTGGATTCGCACTTTCATTGAGCTGTCCTGTACGACTACATTTGGCGGCACATCTGCCTGTCTGGGAAGGGCTGCCTTGGAAGGCAGGGGAGCCCTTGAGATGAAGGTGCCATTTAAGAAAGGGGGGGGAGTAGCTATTGAGAGTCCCCCGGACTGCAAGAAGATCGAATCAGTCAATCCTAAAAGAAATCAACCCTGACTGTTCCCTGGATAATGAAACTGAAGCTCAAATACTTTGGCCACCATATGAGAAGGGAGCACTCACTGGAGAAGAAGACCCTGATGCTGGGAAAGACTGAAGGTCAAAGACGACGGGGGCGGCAAAGGACGAGATGGTCAGACAGTGTCATCGAGGCAACGAACGTGAAATTGAGCAAACTTCAGAGGACGGCGGAAGACCGGAAGGCCTGGCGTGATCTGGTCCATGGGGTCGCGAAGAGTCGGACTCGACTGTGCGACTGAACAACAACAACACTGTAGTAGTAGTAGTAGAAGGAGGAGGAGGAGGAGATGAGAATGATTGGGTTTATACCCCGCCCCTCACTTGGAGTCTCAGAGCGGCTCACAAACTCCTTTCCCTTCCCCTCCCCACAACAGACACCCTGTGAGGTAGGTGGGACTGAGAGAGCTCTTTTTCAAGGACAGCTCTGACAGAACGATGGCTTGCCCAAGGTCATCCAGCAGCTGCAAGTGGAGGAGTGGGGTAATCAAACCTGGTTCTCCCAGGTTAGAGTCCCCGCACTTAACCACGACACCAAACTGGCTCTCACTCCACATTTTCTCAACTGGGAGGGAAAAGCGCAGCTCAAAACCACATTCAAAGACCTTCGGGCAACAACATATTGACTGCAAAGTCACCCCTGAACGGCCATAAAACGGCCATAAATCTATGCAGGAGGTACAATAAAATCCAATAATCAAAGAAAGCGAAAGTGGCATGGAGTGTGGGAGCTACTATAAAATTCAGTGTTCAAACAAAGCGAAAGCAGCATGCAAATGCAGAGGGGAATTTCTGTTCCAATGTGGGTTTCGTAAAGCAACAGAGGGAAAAGCCAATGCAGAATCAGCCATAGTTCTGGGACACATTTGTTGGAAGGAAAAGAAAGGCTCATACACTCCTCAGGAGTCTGACTGGGAAACCCACAGCAAGAGGAGAATGAGTCGAACAGCAGGTCCCCTTTGAAGTGTATCAGGAAGCTGGCTTATACGCCACCGATCCTGCTAGGGGTGTGCTTTTGGTTCATCTGAGCAAAAATATACCTGAAAAAATACCTTACCAGTATTTTTTGAGTATTGTAAAGCTGAATGCAGACCAGAGATCTGTATTCGACGACTGATATAGCTGTCAAAGGTCAAGGTTTCCCTTGCTCAAAAGCCAGTCGAATCCGACTCTAGGGATGCGGTGCTCATCTCCGTTTTCCAAGCCGAAGAGCCAGTGCTGTCCGAAGACTTCTCCGTGGTCATGTGGCCGGCATGACTAGACGCCGAGGTGCATGGATATAGCTGACCTCCTCCCAAAGGTGCCCTTTTTGCCTTTTTTACGGGTGCATTCAGCTATACTAAGAAGGCATTTAGAGGGTCCAAACGGGGGGACCCGGTCCGTTTGCTGTGGAATCCTTTGAAGAAATGCCAGATTCTACGGCTGCAATGCACGATGTCATAGAAATGGCATCGACACGCTTATGACATCGCGGATGCTCCAGCAAGCAGCAGCCTTTGTTTCCGAAGACCTTTCTGGACATTTTGGAAGGACGCGACTTGTTCTGTCCGAAGTGCCATCTGATCCGGCTGCTAGCTGAAGCCGGCCCCCTACTTTGCTGGAGGACCTGCAAGGGAAAGGGTGAAGAACCAAATGGAAACAGGTCACGGCAGGTGTAGACCTAAGGGACCGCCTTTCCTCATATGTTCCCCCGCGAGCACTTCGGTCCGGGACCCAACATCTCCTGGCAGTGCCAGGTCCCAAAGAGGCCAGGCTGGCCGCTACCAGGGCCAGGGCTTTCTCGGTGGCGGCTCCTATCTGGTGGAACGAGCTCCCGGAGGAGATCCGGGCCCTGCGGGACCTTGTGCAGTTCCGCAGGGCCTGTAAGACGGAGCTCTTCCACCAGGCGTATGAGTAGGAGCCGCCACTACCATCATCATTATTCCATCTTCACCTGGCCCTGGATGAGGGAACATCAATGCTTCCCTGGAGCAGACGATGCTGAACAGTTCAAATATGCCATCTCTGAAATTTCATGTAGAACATCTAGAGCACTTTAGTCAGTAACTCGTTATGAATGTTTTGTACTGTTGGATTTTAAATGGTTTTAATTATGTTTTATATTGGTGTTTGCCCCTATGTAAGCCGCCCTGAGCCCGCATTGCGGGGAGGGCGGGGTATAAATTGAATTAAATAAATAAATAAATAAAAATAAATAGACACAGGTTTAACAGATGAACACACACACACACCATGGTTGTAGTGGGGAGAGCTGCTGGGATCAGTCACCCAGGAGGAGCCCCGGAAGCGAAAGCACCAAGACCACAGGCTTTTGGTGGTCCCTGGCCCCAGGGATGTCTGACTTGCCTCGACCAGGGCCGAGGTGGAATGAGCTCCCGAGTGAGGTCAGGGCCCTGTGGGATTTATTACAATCCCGCAGGGCCTGCGAGATGGAGCTCTTCCGCCGGGCTTTTGGTTGAGCCAGCGGGCATCCCCCTCCCTCCTTGAGTCAGCCCCCTTTACAGCTTGGGTTGGCCCCTATTTTATAGCTTGGGTCTAGATCCTAAACTGTACAGATTTCTGAGAAATTTATTCCCAGTTTGGTGTGGTGGTTAAGTGCGCAGACTCTAATCTGGGAGAACAGGGTTCGATTCCCCACTCCTCCACTTGCAGCCGCTGGGTGACCTTGGGCAAAGCCATAGTTCTGTCAGAGCTGTCCTTGAAAAAGAGCAGTTTCTGTCAAGAGCTCTCTCAGCCCCACCTACCTCCCAGGGTGTCTGTTGTGGGGAGGGGAAGGGAAAGGAGTTTGTAAGCCCCTCTGAGACACCTTTGGGTAGTGAAGGGCCATGGGGTATGAATCCAATCTCTTCTTCTACTACTATCAGCCACTGAGGCAGTTGGCTTTTTATAAGACTTGTATGTTTTATAGGTTTTAACATGGTTTTGATTATATTGTATTGATATTGTTGTATGATATTTATATTGTTGGAACCCGCCCTGAACCCATTAAGGGGAGGGCGGGATACAAATCCAAAAAATAAATTATTTTTTTTAAAAAATGTCTCCCCTCCCCCTCCCTTATGTGGCTTGGCCAACCTGCTGAGGAGTTAAGCAAACAGAGTATGGTACACAGTATATGGATAGTATATGGAGATATTTGTGAATTTCCTGCATGGTGCAGGGGGTTGGACTAGATGACCCTGGAGGTCCCTTCCAACTGTGATTCTGCGAGGTCCCCGCGGGCTTGAAAAGGTTGGGCCCAGCGTGTGCCTCTGTCCTTTCAGCCAACAGGAGCAGGAGGTGGAAGCCAGGCTGAGGAGCAAGTACACCCTGATCGACAAAAACGACTTTGCCACTCTGTCTGCGGTCCAGAAGGTGAGTGGGCACGCCTTGGATCTCCTGGGGGAGAGAGGCGGGGACGGAATACCTCTAAGTAAACCTTGCTCTCTCCCCAAGTAGCCTGGGTATAACTTTGCAGCCCAGATAGCCCAGCTCAGCCCAGGCTTGTCAGCACAGTTAGCATGTGGATGGGAGACCGCCAGGGAAGACTGTGCGGAGGAAGGCCGTGGCAAACCACCTCTGCTTGTCTCTTGCTTGGAACGCCCCGTGGATGGGGTCACCATTGATGGGAGAATGCTCAAGGCACAGGGCACAACAGAGTTACCTGGTGTGCACATGTGCGTGCCGCTGAGGGAATAAAGTTAAACACAGAGCCTTGGGAATGTTTAGTTTGGAGAAGAGGAGATGGAGGGGGGACAAGATTGCTCTCTTTCAATATCTGAAAGGCTGTCATTTGGAGGAGGGCCAGGAGCTGTTCTAGTTGGCAGCAGAGGATTGGACCCGAAGCAACGGGTTTAAATGACACGCAGAAAGGTATCGGCTGGGTATCAGGAAAAACCTTTTCACGGTCAGAGTGGTTCAGAGGTGGAATCAGCTGCCTGGGGAGGTGGAATTAGCTCCCCTTCACTGGCAGCTTTCAAGAAGAGGCTGGAGGAATATTTGTCAAGAGATTCTTTAGGCTGGTCTTGCATTGGGCAGGGGGTTGGACTAGATGGTCTGTACGACACCTTCCAGCTCTGTGATTCTATGATCTTAGAAAACCAATGTGAGTCCTTTTTTGTAAGGAACCCCATTCTGGACAGGATAGAGTGGAGTAAGGATTCTCATCTAGTCTGTCCTTATCTAACTGTTATTCGGACTCCAAGGTCACGAACCGATCGAAATCCAACCGTCTTACGGGCAATCATCACAGCTAAATATTTAGTGACGGCTAAGGTAGTTTTCCAATTCTTATCCAAAAGGAAAAAGTGGACACTTTTGAGACGATAAATTCACATAGCCTATCAAGAGCGAGGGCAGTTACCTTTTCTTTGAAACCAGAACAGATTTCGCACTCCAAGAAAATAACGTGCTAAGGACTCTCACCTAGTCTAACTAGCTAGGATGGATGGAGATGCAGGGAAAATTTCCTGCCCTCATGGTGCCAAGATGGAGAAGTATCGTGGGGAGAGGAGGAGTCAGCCGGAAGGCAGGAAGATTCCTCGAGAGTAGCAATCTACACATCGAAGGGACAGCATCAGAGCTGTAGAAAAGAATGGATGCACAGGATGCACCTATCTCTCTCTGGCTCTCCATAGCTCCTTGCTGTAGTCTGAGGCTTCCAACATGGACTGGCTCACCATAAGCTGGTTGCGACTTGACGGCACGATCTTCTTCTATCCCCTCACCCAAGTCCGTGGAAGTTTATTTTCAGAATTTGGGTATCCTTAAAGGAGATTTTGGACATGGCAGAGGTTTATAAAACTATGCATGGGGTAGAAAGAGTTGACAAAGAGACATTTCTCTCACTCTCCCAAAAGACTAGAACTCGAGGGCATCCAGTGAAGCTGATGGGCAGTAGGTTCAGGAAGGAGCCAAGGAAATACTACTTTACACAGAGGGTGATTACAATGTGGAATTCGCTGCCAGAGGATGTTGTGATTGTCAAAAGTCCTCAACCAAGCCCAGGCTAAGGACTTTTGGGTGGAAGGGCTGCAACAAGACAAAATCACAAAACACTGGCAGGGGACTGCCCTCACAACAGTCAGGTAGGCGACCGCCAGCCCTTTAAGGTCTATCCCCACACCTCTGGAGCAAAAGGGCAAGTCTCCCAGCCTTTTAGGGAAATTAACAAGAAAGTTAACCCTGCAGGGTGGGCCTGCAGAATGAGTTCCCAAACACTAAACAGTTACCTGGTAGGTGGTCACTGGGTCAAGACACTGGAACTAAATTTAAGAGAACATAAGAACATAAGAGACGCCAATGTTGGATCAGGCCAAAGGCCCATCCAGCCCAACACTCTGTATCACACCGTGGCCAGAAATACCAGTGCCATCAGGAGGTCCACCATTAGAAGCCCTCCCACTGTTGACCCCCCCAAGCACCAAGATGACAGAGCATCACTTGCCCCAGAGTCCCTATCTATACCTTGTGGCTAATAGCCACTGATGGACCTCTGCTCCATATGCTTATCTAATTCCCTTTTGAAGCCGTCCATGCTTGTAGCCGCCACCACTTCCTGTGGCAGTGAATTCCAAGTGTTAATCACTCTTTGGGTGAAGAAGTACTTCCTCTTATCCGTTCTAACCCGACCGCTCAGCAATTTCATGGAGTGCCCACGAGTTCTTGTATTGTGAGAAAGGAAGAAAAGTACCTCTTTCTCTACCTGCTCTTTCCCATGCATAATCTTATAAACCTCAATCATGTCACCCCTCAGTCGTCGTTTCTCCAAGCTAAAGAGCACAGAACTGTACACAGTACTCCAAATGAGGACACACCATCGATTTATACAGGGGCATTATGATACTGGCTGATTTGTTTTCAATTCCCTTCCTAATAATCCCTAGCATAGTGTTGGCCTTTTTTATTGCAGTCACACACTGTCTTGACATTTTCATTGAGTTATCTACTAAACTCCAAGATCTCTCTCTTGATCAGTCTCTGCCAGTTCAGACCCCATCAATGTGTATTTATATTTAGGATTTTTGCCTCCAGTGTGCATCACCTTGCACTTGGCCACATTGAACCCCATCTGCCATGTTGACGCCCACTCGCCCATCCTTGACAGATCCCCTTGGAGTGCCTCACAATCCTCACTGGTTTTCACCACCCTGAACAACTTTGTATCATCCGCAAATTTAGCCACTTCACTGCTTACTCCCATCTCCAAATCATTAATGAACAAGTTAAAAAGCATCGGACCAAGTACTGATCCCTGCGGTACCCCACTGCTTACCACCCTCCTCTGAGAAAATTGCCCATTTATACTCACTCTCTGTTTCCTATTAATCAGCCAGTTTTTGATCCACAAAAGGACTTGTCCTTTTATCCCGTGACTATTGAGCTTACTTAGGAGCCCTTGATGAGGAACTTTATCAAAAGCTTTCTGGAAGTCAAGGTAAACAACATCTATTGGGTCCCCCTTGTCCATACGTTTGTTCACCCCCTCAAAGAACACTAACAGGTTACTGAGACAAGATCTTCCCTTACAGAAACCGTGCTGAGTCTTCCTCAATAGGTTTTGTTCATCTATGTGCCTATTAATTCTTTCCTTAATAATGGTTTTCACCAACTTACCCGGTATCGAAGTCAGACTGACGGGCCTGTAATTTCCCGGATCTCCTCTAGAACTGGTGATTTATCAGTTTTTGTTTATTTGGCAGCACCGATTCTCTAACCCTTTCGCATGACACCTTGTCCTTCCCTGTTCTCAGGCAGGATTAGTTGACGCTGACGGCCACATGGTTGGTGAGGTTGACGGGCAAGGATTCGGCATCGGAGTTGCTCCTTTCTCATCCAAGCCCGGAGGGAAGAGAGCGAAAATGAAGAAAGGCAAAGAGCAGCCCAGGTTGATCTTCTTTTGGTGACGTCCAAGTCCCAAGGATTTATTGTACTAGCCGTAGGCCATAATAAAATTACAAAACATTCAAATAGATCAGTAAAACAGTAAAATAGTATGATGAAATGCATAAAGAAGTAAAACCTAAAATCAGATACCTAAAATGAGAATGGGTTAAAATACCCTACGTGTTATAAGTATGGCCCATACGGCGGCCATCCTGGCTCTAATCTTTTTGGCCACAAGGGCAAAAAGGGAGACTCTATAGCAGTGGTGGCGAACCTATGGCACGGGGGCCAGAGGTGGCACTCAGAGCCCTCTCTGTGGGCACGCGTGCCATCGTCCCAGCCAGGCCCAGACCATCATTAAAGTGTCGAATTCTCTGCCAGATAATTTTAAGTAAATGAAAGCATTTGGGATTGCTTTCCTTACTTTGTTCGGATCCTCTTAAGTTAATGTATGTGTTGTTTTTTCTAAAGTAGAACCTCAGTATTCAGGTTAAATGGCCGTGTGGGCACTTTGCAATAAATAAGTGGGTTTTAGGTCGCAGTTTGGGCACTCGGTCTCTAAAAGGTTCGCCATCACTGCTCTATAGGTTACAAACTCGTTGGTATCTGATAACAAGAATATAATCTTCTCATCTTTTGGTTACGTGGTCTTGTCTCGGGGCAGGATTATTGACTTTTTTAGGGACTGTGGCAGATGTGACCATCCCCCAAAGCCTGTATTTGAGGCTGTGCTGTGTCTGCCTACGATGCTCAGTCACTCCTCTGGCTCAGCAGAAGGTGCTTAGAACGCTTTGGTGCTTGTCAGAGGAGTAATAATATCTACAGCTCCCGGTCTTATTCCGTGTGTGTCCGTTCTCCTGGTCTTGTTGTTGGCAGTAGAAAAGAGCAAGAGTCCAGTAGCACCCTTAAAGACTAACAAAATTTGTGGCAGGGGAGGAGCTTTCGTGAGTCATTGCGTGACTCACAAAAGCTTCTCCCCTGCCATAACTGTTGTTAGTCTTCAAGGTGCGACTGGAGTCTTGCTCTTTTCTACCGCTATGGACAGACTAACACGGCTACCCATCTTGAAGCTGGCAATGATTCATGCACCAGTTCTGGTGTGGTTTTTTTCTTTCGTTCTGCCTGAGTTTTTCCCGTTTGCTTGATTTGTGTAATGTTAAGGGGCAGATTTGGAGCTCTTTTAGAACCAGCAGGAGTCTTTTTTAAGGACACAGAGGACCCAAAGCTCTGCACTGCTGTCATCTTTGCAGCCAAAACCACTACTTATTATTTTATTTTATAACCTCTTAGTTTTATAACTGTGCACTTGTGAACGTAATCAATAAAAAGGAAAACACTAATCAGCAGTGGCCTTTTCATCAAAGAGGAAAGCAGTAATCCCTCCCGACCGCTGAATAAGAACTGATAACTAAGGATTGCTTCTAGAATGATATGACCGCCTGTGAAAATAGGAAGTAACTATATGTGCAAAACCTGGGTTTGGTGGTGTGTAATGTGTGAATCCATTCATGCAACTTTATGGCAGAGGGAAATGGAACACCCCACCAAGTTTCCTGAGGCAAACAGAAGGCATGTTAAGCCTTGTTGCATAGACATTTTAGGCTTCCCCACTGAACTAGCATGAGGCTGAGCAGACAACAACTTAGTCTGGCTCTGGCTAATTATTCCGCTGCCCCTTGGGTTTCAGAAATCTCATCAGGTGTTATGAACCCATTTTCATGCAAACCTTCATCACTACAATGGACAGAATCTTGTTGTCTTTTTAAAAAAAAGAAAGCTGGGAAGTCTCTGGCAGCTGCATTCTGTGGCGAATTCTGCATTCCTGATCGTGCACACAGCCCTGACAGTGTGGGTGGAAGGCTTTGGGGAGCCATGTCCCATCTGCCTGTCCTATCAGCTGTTCACTCCCTTCCGTTATCCCTGGTGGTGACCCTTGAGTCAGGGAGCCTTGACTTTCTCAGATGGGAGCCGAGATGGGTCATGTGAACAGATGAGTGAAACCTTACACTGAACCAGACCCTCTCTCCGAGGTCTCAGGCAGAGGTCTTTCACATCACCTGTTCCCCGGCCCTTTCTTAACTGGAGATGCCTGAGACTGAGCCTGGGAGCTTCTGCATGCTCTACCACTGAGCCACAGCCACTCCTCAAACATGGGATCTCCTTTGCAAGTGGTACATAAGCTGTGGCAGAATCCATGCTCTCGCCATGTGGCTTTGGCCCTTTGCCTCTTTTCCAGCACCACTCCACGGAAGGAAGGCCTTGCCAGCCCCGTTTCCGGGAAGGAGCTGGATTCCATTTCCGCCTCACGCAGCCAGGGGTTCAGCAAGGAGCAGGAGACGAAGGAGGCCCAAGATGTTCTCAGCGTGGAGACGCATCGCTCCGAATCTGTGCCTAAAGATGATACTGCAGCCCAGCCCAGGTAGGGTTTTTTTGCATAGTGCTTTTGGCATTTTAGTTGTGCCATTTGTACACGAGCGTCAGGCCAGCTTTGCTGCCTCACATCAATGGTCCAGCAAGTCCAGCACCCTTTTCTGGGCACAGTGACCAATCAGATGGCCCCGCCTGTTTTCTAAAAACACTTGGCTGGCACCGTGTTGGGGCCCTCCAGTTAGGGATGTGCATTCAGTAAAGCCAAACCGAAAAAAACTCAAAAAAAAATTTTGGGCATTTTTCGGGTATTCGGCATACTGAATCAGATTCCTGAGCTGATTCGGCTGCCGAAGAGTGAATGCTGGGGGAAAACCCAAAAGATTTCGGTTCCCCCCCTCCCCCCAGCTTTCTTGGGGAGACACTGCTGCCTGCCTTTTCCCCATCCCCATAGGATGGGAGCCAGTAATTTTTTCCCCTGCACACCTCTACCTCCAGTCTGTTGGATCACCCTTGTCCATGTATCTGTTAAATCACTCAAAGAACTTCAAAGGCTGGCGAGACAGGACTTTGCTTTGATAGAAGCAGTGCTGATCTGCCTCGGTAGGGCTTATTCCTCTGTTGCTAATGCCTTCAATAACAGTTTCCACTGATACATCCAGCACAGATGTTAGGCTAAGTCAGGCGTGGCCTTGGAGGGGTCTGGGCAGGGGCGGGACCTCAGTGGGGTACAGTGCCACAGAGTCTGCCTTCCAAAGCACCCATGTGCTCCAGTGGAACTGATCTCTTGTCGCCTGGAGATAATTTGTAATTCTGGGAGATCTCCAGGCCTCAGCTGGAGGCCGGCAACCGTATCTCCGGTAGCAATGCTCACTATCTCTTCCTTTCTCGGTGTCCATGTGAGAGGCTTTTTAACCTCTTGTTGACCACTTGCCGAGGCTCCTGAAACCCACCAGCCCCGTGACTCACGTGGTCCACTCTCTTCCAAACAGCTGCCCGCCAGCCAGGACGGCAGCCTTCGAGGACTTCAAGAACGAGCGCGGCAGTGAGATCAACCGGATCTTTAAGGAGAACAAGGCCATCCTGAACGACCGCAAGAAGAAGATGAGCGCGGTCACGCAGAGGATTAATGTTCTCAAGCAGGAGATAGACACCACCAAGCAGGTCCTGGAGGCCCAGAAACTGGAGCGGGAGCAGCAAGGTAAGGAGTGCCCGGGCTGTGGGCGGCCAGCAGGAGAGAACCCAGCCCAGAGTGGGGAGAAGTTCATAAGGAAAAGCAGGGGTCATTTCCAGCCGGAACGAGCTGGGACGGCGTTCCGGCAGTAACGAGCCCAGGAGCGGCAAGCCCTGCACCCAGCAGCCCTCAGTCGGGCCAGGGAATACTTTGGGGGGGGGTGGAGAGCCCCCCGGCCTTCCCTGGCTCGCCCACTGAGGCCCTGCAAGGAGCAGGAAGGGCAGGAGATAAATTTAACTAATAATAAACTAATAAACTTCCAAGTAGGACCAGGAAATTCACATCTGATCTCCAGGCTTGACAGATCAGTTCCCCTCCCCCAAGAAAATGGCAGTTTTGAAGGGTGGACTCTGCCCCAAACTCCACTCCCAAATCTTCAGGAATCTCCCAAGCTGGAGGTGGCAAACCCTAGTTTGGTGTGGTTGACCCTGGAACTCTCTGCCACAGGATGTAACCAGAGTGGAGTGGTCTCCTTACTTCCAATGTTAAGAACCAAGTCTCTAGGTTTTGTTATATTTATTGGTTTATTTAATTCTGTGTCTATCCTGCCTTTCCCGCAAATGGGCTCAGGGCAGGTTACAAAGGCACACAAAATGTAACATGTAAGATTAATAATTAAAAGAAGAGAAGAAGAAGAGATTGGATTTATACCCCGTCCTTCACTACCGAAAGGCGTCTCAGAGCAGCTTACAAACTCCTTTCCCTTCCCCTCCCCACAACAGACACCCTGTGAGGTGGGTGGAGCTGAGAGAGCTCTGACTGAGAACTGCTCTTTTTCAAGAACAGCTCTGACAGAACTATGGTTTGCCCAAGGTCATCCAGCAGCTGCAAGTGGAGGAGTGGGGAATCTGGGAATCGAACCCGGCTCTCCCAGATTAGAGTCCGTGCACTTAACCACTACACCAGACTGGCTCTGTATTTGGCTACCAATATTGCTGACCCCGGAAAAAGCGGATTTAGTAGTGTGGCCTAGTGGTTAGGTCTTGAATACAGGATCTGGGAGACCCGCCTTCGGATGTTGAAGCTCATTGGTTGACCTTGCGTCAATCATACTCTCTCAGCCTAACCTGCCTGCAGGGATAAAACTGGGGGGAAAGAACCATGAATGTTGCCCCGAGCTCCTTGGAAGAAGGCGGGGTACTAGATAGACAAGTTTCTTGGAAAACGACGTGAGGTTTTTCACCTGAGATGCTCCCCTGGTTTCTGTCTGTTATTTAGAGACTTCTCTAAACCTTGAGGGGGGGGGTCTTGCAGGAGAATACCTGAATGAGGAAGGCCAAGTCATCATCGAAGAAGAGGAATTCCTGCTGCTGGTGAAGCTGAAGGACCTGCGGAAGCAGTACCGGGCTGACTTCAGCGAGTTCCGAGACCTCCAGTCCGAAGTCCAGTACTGCCAGCACTTGGTGGACCAGTGCCGTAGGAAGCTGCTCACAGGTACTGCCGGTTGCAGATCCCAGAGGCCGTCGCTTCTGGGCATGGGCTTCTGCCCTCCTGAGCACGGGCTCACCTTCCTGCATGCCACATAACAGTTTCGAGCCAGGGTTTGCGGGCTTCCGACAGCTCAAACAGCCCAGCTGAGCTCAGGCTTGTGAGAACTCGGAAGCCAAGCAGGGTCAGCCACAGTTAGTACCTGGATGGGGAAGACGGGGGTTGCTAATGCAGAGGAAGGCAACGGCAAACCACCTCTGCTGCTTTGTTACCTTGAAAAACCCCTGGTATTGGGGTCGCCATGAGTCAGTTGTGGCTCAGGGGCAGAGCCTCTGCTTGGCATGCAGGAGGTCCCAGGTTCAATCCCCGGCAGCATCTCCAGTTAATAGGACCGGGCAGGAGGTGATGGGAAAGACCTCTGCCTGAGACCCTGGAGAGCTATAAAGAGGGGCCATGGCTCAGTGGCAGAGCATCTGCTTGGCCTGCAGAAGGTCCCAGGTACAATCCCCGGCATCTCCAGCTGAAAGGATCAGGCAGTAGGTGATGGGAAAGACCTCTGCCTGAGACCCTGGAGAGTTGTAATGAGGGACTATGGCTCAGTGGCAGAGCCTCTGCTTGGCATGCAGAAAGTCCCAGGTTCAATCCCTGGCATCTCCAGTTAAAAGGACCAGGCAGGAGGTGATGGGAAAGACCTCCGCCTGAGACCCTGGAGAGCTATAAAGAGGGGCCATGGCTCAGTGGCAGAGCACCTGCTTGGCACACAGAAGGTCCCAGGTTCAATCCCCGGCAGCATCTCCACCTAAAAAGGGCCAGGCAGTAGGTGATGGGAAAGACCTCTACCTGAGACCCTGGAGAGCAGCTTCCAGTCTGAGTAGACAACACTGACTGTGATGGATTAAAGATCTGATTCGGTATAAGGCAGTTTCATGTGTTTCATGTGTAACAGGACATTATTCATTCATTTGTGGGCTTTGTGATATGGAGAGGGGCCATGGCTCAGTGGAAGAGCCTCTGCTTGGCATGCAGAACGTCTCAAGTTCAATCCCCGGCATCTCTAGTTGAAAGGATCATGTTGAAGGTGATGGAAAGACCTCCGCCTGAGACCCTGGAGAGCCGCTGCCAGTCAGGGTCAACAATACTGATCCTGATGGCCCAAAGTTCTGCTTCAGTATCAGGCAGCTTCATCTGTACATGTGTATAAATGTAGAAAAACCCCATGGTACTGGGGTTGCGGGGCAGTATTGTGGCCCAGAATATGGAGCAGAGGTCCATCAGTGGCAATTAGCCACAAGGTATAGATAGGGACTCTGGGGCAAGGGATGCTCTGTCTTCTTGGTGCTTGGGGGGGGGGAGTCAACAGTGGGAGGGGCTTCTAGTGTCCTGGCCCCACTGGTGGACCTCCTGATGGCACTGGTATTTCTGGCCACTGTGTGATACTGAGTGTTGGGCTGGATGGGCCTTTGGCCTGATCCAACATTGGCATCTCTTATGTTCTTATGTTCTTAATGCTGAAGCAGAGTTGCTTCTAGTTACCTGTGGGCCCATCATCCAGTCTGGCCCCCTTGCTGGAGACCTTGTGACCCTTTCCCTCCTGGAGGGGTCCAGATATTAATATCTGTGATGAGCCACCCCACTGAGATGAGCTGTTCCCCCCGCCAGTGCCAAGGCACACACCGGATACGCACGAGACTCTCCGGACGACTGAGCCTCCAGCCACCCGCTTCTGAATGCCTGGACTCCTCTCGTCTCAGACTCCAGGGCGGCTCGGGGCCCAGCATCGCCCAGACCGGGCTGCCCCTCTGAAACAGCGTCCCTCCTGCCTTTCTTCTTTGCTTTCCAGAGTTTGAAATCTGGTACAACGAGTCTTTCCTCATCCCGGAGGAGGTCCAAGAGGCGCTGAAGCCCGGCAGCGGCGCTCTCAGGCTCGGCATGATTCCGATCAACAGAGTCCTGACGCTGGTAAGCAGGGCCTTCCGCAGCCCGTGCGGCGCCACGTGGGCTGTTCCACCGCTAAGCCACGGGCCAGCCATTGGGCCTGCAAGCTCATCCACACCAGCAGCGGGCACATGTGACTTGCAGCCCGAGAGTTTGCAAGCGAAACATGAGCCCGCAGTGCGATGTGGCTGCGAAGAAAGCTAATGCAATCTTCGGATGCATTAACAGAATAATTGTGTCCAGATCACGGGAAGTGGTAGTTCTGCTCCGTTCTGCTATGGTCAGGCCTCACCTGGAGTCCTGTGTCCAGTTTTGGGCACCACATTTGAGGAAGGATGTTGACAAGCTCGAGCGTGTCTGGAAGAGGGCGACCAGGATGGTGAGAGGGTTGGAGTCCAAGTCTTATGAGGAAAGGCTGAAAGAATTGGGTCTGTTTAGCCTGGGAAAGAGAAGGCTTAGAAAGGACAGGATTGCAGTCTTCAAGTACCTGAAGGGCTGTCATGTAGAAGATGGAGCAGATCTGTTCTCTCTTGCTCCGGATTGCGAGACTAGATCTAATGGGTGGAAATTACAAGGGCGGCGATACCGGCTAAATATCAGGAGAAACTTCCTAACCGTAAGAGGGGTTGAGCAGTGGAACGGTCTGCCTCGGGAGGTGGTGGATGCTCCTTCGCTGGACGTTTTCAAGCGGAGGCTGGATGACCATCTTTTGGGTATGTTGTAGGGCTGCCATTCGGCTGGGCTCCTGCAGAGTGCAGGGGGTTGGACTAGATGACCTGCAAGGTCCCTTCCAACTCTAACATTCTATGAAAGGCCTCAGCCTGGGTCCTGCAGGGAGCTTCCCAAGTTGCCGGTGGAGTTTGGTCACCTCCCTCCTGCAAGACTCATCACAAGGGACCCGGCGGCGTCACTGTTAGAGGGCTGAATGACGACTTGGGAGAACCAGTTTGGTGTAGCGGTTAAGAGCTCGGACTTCCCCAGTCCTCCACATGCAGCCAGCTGGCTCTTTCAGTCCTCCACATGCAGCCAGCTGGCTCTTTCAGAGCCGTTCTCTCAAGACCTATTCTTGAAAGAGCTCCCACCTAGAAGAAGAGATTAGATTTATACCCCCCACCCTTCACTTGGGAGTGGGTGCCGTGGTGCAGAGGATGAACATCGACAAACAAGCAGGGCTCTAGATAAGCGTACTGGTATTCCTTTATAGCTGCGGTGGCTCAAGTGGTTAAGATGCTGAACTGCAGGCCGGAAGTGCCGAGTGCCGCATGACGGAGTGAGCTCCCGTCTCTGGCCCCAGCTCCTGCCAACCTAGCAGTTCGAAAGCAAGAAATTGCAAGTAGATCAATAGGTACCACTTTGGTGGGAAGGGAACAGCGTTTCATGCGCCTCAACATCTAGTCATGCCGGCCACATGCCCGCGGAAATGTCTTCGGACAGCGCTGGCTCTTTGGCTTGGAAACGGAGATGAGCACCACATCCCTAGAGTCAGATTTGACTGGCTTTCGAGCAAGGGAAACCTTTTCCTTTTACTTCACTTGAAGTCTCAGAGCAGTTTACGATCCCTTTCCCTTCCCTTCCCCACAACAGACACCCTGTGAGGCAGGTAGGGCTGAGAGAGCTCTCTCAAGAACTGCCCTTGAGAGAACAGCTCTGAGAGAACTTGTTCGCTCCCTCTAAGCTGTGGAGTCCTGTGAGCAAAAATTCTACTTTGTGAGCTCCTGGCATTAAGGTTGTGAGCGAGCGATTTGGCTACTGCATACATGAGTTTGCTCTGGAGCCATCCTTCCTGGGCTAAGACAAAAATGTGTGAGCTGGAGGCTAAAAAACTGTGAGCTAGCTCACACTAACTCAGCTTAGAGGGACCACTGCTTGTGACTGACCCAAGGTCACACCAGCAGCTGCATGTGGAGGAGTGGGGAATCAAACCTGGTTCTCCCAGTTTAGAGTCTGCACTATTGACCACTACACGAAACTGGCTCTGTTGTGGGGAGGGGAAGGGAGAGGAGATTGTAAGCTGCTCTGAGACTCCTTCAGGTAGTGAAGGGCGGGGTATAAATCCAATCTCTTCTTCTTCAGATCCCCACTCTTCTTTGAGGCTCTCTAGGCGACCTTGGGCCAGGCATTCTCTCGCAGCCTCCCCTACCTCATAGGGCAGCTGTGAGAGCCAGTGTGGTTAACAGTTAAACATGTCAGACTGTTATCCAGGAGAGACAGGTTCGAATCCTCTCTCGTGCCATGGAAGCTCGCCGGGTGACCTACATCATTTTTGTATCCTAACAACCCCGCAAGGTAGGTTAGGCTGAGACTGTGTGGCTGGCAAGGTTCCATGGTAGAATGAGGATTCAGACTTAGGCCTTCCACACTGTAGTCTGATACTCCAACCATTATACCACACTGGCTTTTACCTACTTTACAGGGTTGTTGTAGAAGAAGAGATGAGATTGGATGTATACCCCGCCGTCACTCGGAGTCTCAGAGCGGCTTACAAACTCCTTTCCCTTCCCCTCCCCACAACAGACACCCTGTGAGGTAGGTGGGGCTGAGAGAGCTCTTTTGAGGACTGTCCTTTCAAGAACAGCTCTGACAGAACTGTGACTGGCCCAAGGTCATCCAGCAGCTGCAAGTGGAGGAGTGAGGAATCAAACCCAGTTCTCCCAGATTAGAGTCAACGCACTTAACCACTACACCAAACTGGCTAATATTTATGGATTATACTGAGATCATACAGGATGAACTGCTGTGAACATCCCCAAGATCCAAATAAATAGCTGCTATTCTCATCTAACCCCCTATTGTTTGTGTGTGTGTGTACATGTGGGTGTTCATGAGTGGAATTATACGTGTCCACTAGCTGCTTTAGCTCAAAGCTTGCATGGGGGTGCATGCCGCTCCTGGGAATTTCAAAGACTCCCTAGAACTGGGAGACTTGCGCTGCACACACTCTGTTGAAATTCAAACACTGTCATCCTACAAGCTCTGAACGGCTGGAGGCAGTGGCTCTGTGATACCTGCCTGAAGGTCTGCCTGGCACCTCACAGAGCTTCTTGCGTTTTGCCCGTCTTTTCCTCCCAGGATGAAGACGAGCAGGAGAGGTTCGACCGGATGCAGCAGGAAGTGCTGCCCTACTGCCCAGATTCCGTCTCCTTCTATAATGCTAAAGCAAAGACTGACCGCAAGGTAGCGTGAAAACCCCCTCCGGTGGCCCTCCACCAGACCCTGGGGACAGGGAGGAGCCAGGAGTCATCATAGAAACAGTGCCATAAAGATTGGCAAAAGGATGTCTTTTGTTGGACCCAGTCCAGAGTTGTGGCACACCTACCCTGTGTGCATTCCAGATTCAGTCTCCAGCATCTCCACTTAAAAGTTCCCAGTAGCAGGTGGTGGAAGAGACCCTTTCTGGAGCAAGACCCTGGAGAGCCCGTCAGGCAGAGGAGGTCAAGCTAGGTGGCCTCATATATGTAAGGTAGATTTATATGTCTAGTCAGTGAAAAGGGTGTGCTGACCAGTGTTCCCATGTCTTTTGTTGGACCCAGTCCAGAGTTTGGGCTCCACAGGAAGGGGCTGTGGCACACCTACCCTGTGTGCATTCCAGATTCAGTCTCCAGCATCTCCACTTAAAGTTCCTAGTAGCAGGTGGTGGAAAAGACCCTTTCTGGAGCAAGACCCTGGAGAGCCCATCAGGCAGAGGAGATCAAGCTAGGTGGCCTCATATATGTAAGGTAGATTTATATGTCTAGTTGGTGGAAAGGGTGTGCTGACCCGTGATTGCCACTCCATTTGGCCCTCCAAAGACACTAGTGGCCACTCGAGTCCCCCGCCTGGTGACACTCTGCTTTCCCAGCCCTCCCAATCTTCAGAGGGGTTTTCTCTTCCTCTTTTGGTACCACTGCCACCAACTAACCACCATGAATTAACCGCCAAGGGCCAGTGCTCACAGCTTTCCTTCCCACATTTTTGTTCTAAGGCTCCCCCTAGTGCCTACATTTCCCACTACCCAATGAGTGGTTACCACTGGGATGGCTTACCACACTTGTGCACTCCTGGGGAAATAATGATTTGCCAACTGATCTCCTCCCTTCCCCGACACCCATTTTGAATAGCATGTTTGAACGGTGGAGGTCTATGTGGTACAGAAAACAACTGCTAGCATTTACAATAGTAAAGTATTTATTAAAAGTGAAAAGTCCTCCCATGTACTGTCTGCACAGCAAAGGACTGAGCAAGGAATAAAAAGGAAAGATGTAAACATGCACAATTCCTCTGCCCCCCGCTCTGTACATTCCCTAGCTGATCTTATTCTAAGCAGGCTCTTTAACTTGCAGGTTAACAGCATTCTAAAGTTTTTCTTTAGGTAGCCATCAGTTGGAGCGCCTTTCTCCAGAATGGAATCAGCCAAAATGGCCTACTCCCTTGTGGGTCAAAGAATATTTTCCTGAAATCTCCAGGAAGATACTGTTTAGCTTCTCTCACCCCCCAGGTCTCTGTGTCCTTAGCAGGTGCACGGTTCTCAAGGTGTGAGATGACACTTCCCTTTCGTTGTCTCCAGCCAGGAATTAGCATTTCCAAAACTTTGATGGTTAGTACTTGGTGGGACACTAATTGACCTCTCCCTCCCTGCCTGTCTTCAGCTGGGAGAGAGAAAACCCTTTTAAAACCTGATGTGGAGGTTCTATCAAACTCAAGCCTCCGAATAAAAATGCATTTCTCCAGTCTGTTAGAGATGCACATTTATTCAAGATGTGCAAGCCTTGGAGCTTAGCTAATTTCTAAAAACGAGCATTCCGACCACCTTTCAGAGTCCATTTTAGGTTTCAGTCTGATGTGTTTATATGACTGCCTTTCGGTTAGCGCTTGGTGCAGCTGGGAATGCAGAGGCACATCTAGATGGCAGTTTTCCTTCACTGTCCTCGTTTCAGCCCCCGATAACCAGTTTCTTCCACCTCCACCAGAAACTGCTAGATAGCTGTAGTGTTATTATTACAATGATCCAGCACTACAGTAAACTGGATCCCGGCTTTCATTTTAAAAAGGCAATTCCCGGGGGTAAAAAAGAGCAAGAGTCCAGTAGCATCCTAAATCACTGCTCACGTCTCCTCCTAGAGGAACAGCAACAAACACACGAGAAACACGGCAAGGCTGAGCAAAACGTGGAAAATACCGTGCAAAAAGAAACAAAGCAAACAATTCTAATATACTACTATAGCTTAATAAATTAATTAAATCATATACTTATCATAAAGAAGAGAAGAAGTAGAGATGGGATTTATACCCTCCCCTTCACTACCCAAAGGAGTCTCAGAGCGGCTTACAATCTCCTTTCCCTTCCCCTCCCCACAACAGACACCCTGTGAGGTGGGTGGGGCTGAGAGAGCTCTTGACAGGAACGGCTCTTTTTCAAGAACAGCTCTGACAGAACTACGGCTTGCCCAAGGTCATCCAGCAGCTGCAAGTGGGGGAGTGGGGAATCAAACCCGGTCCTCCCAGATTAGAGTCCACGCATTTAACCACTACACCAAACAATCAAGATCCTAGTATAACCTGATTATTATAATTAACAACAATAGTACGGAGATGTCCAAAGTTACAGAGACGAATGTGCAGACAAGGTTCAACGTTGTGACGTAACAGACATCATCCTGGCTGGCTAGCTCTCTCTTGGAGAACCGGAGAAGCGACGTAGAGAATTTTCTGACTTGTACATTGTAGCATTTGTGAGCTTTGGTTCTAGGAGAAATAATCTGCCTGAAGAAGAATTTCTCGAAACATGCAATTTTTGCCCGGGAGGCGTCTTGCAGCATCCTTTTTGAGAGCTAGACCGCTGGCATGATGTTTGCTACGTCTCTTTTTTAAAGCAAAACAGTCACAACATTGAACCTTGTCTGCACATTCGTCTCTGTAACTTTGGACATTTCTTCAAGATTGAATATTGTGATGTTTATTGTATCTCTGTACTATTGTTGTTAATTATAATAATCAGGTTATACTAGGGTCTTTATTGTATATGATTTAATTAATTAATTAAGCTATAGTAGTATATTAGAATTGTGTGCCTGCCACCATTTTTGTTCGTCTTTAAGGTGCTCCTGGACTCTTGCTCTTTTCTACTGCAACCGACAGACTAACACGGCTGCCAGTGCTCCCTCTAAGCTGTGGAGTTCTGTGAGCAAAAAATTCTACTTTGTAAGCTATTGGCATTAAAGTTGTGAGCCAGTGATTCGGCTACTGCATGAATTAGTTTGCTCTGGAGCCCTCCTTCCTGAGCGAAGACAAAAATGTGTGAGCCGGAGGCTAAAAAACTGAGAGCCAGCTCACACTGACTCAGCTTAGAGGGGCTACCCATCTCGATCTGTCTCCTAAGATGGTAAAGATTATGTCCTTCTGTACAAGTGGGGTCCTTTCCACACTAGACCTTAAATCCTGGTTCAACCCTTTCCCTGAACTTACATTCTACACTACCCTCGAGTTCACCCCGTAATTATCTCGGGGTATTTTTTTGTTTCCACATTATACTGAGGTCATCCTGGTTTCGCCCCACGCTTGTCCCGGGATAAACGGATGCTGTTATAACCAGGGATAAATGCAAATAAAAGACGCTGAACTGCAGGCTGTGGAAGGTCAGTAGTTCAGCCGTTCAAGACCCGAGTTGCCGCATGACGCTCCCGTGTCTGGCCCCAGCTCCTGCCAACCTAGCAGTTCGAAAGCAAGAAATTGCAAGTAGATAAATAGGTACCACTTCGGTGGGAAGGTAACGGCGTTCCGTGCGCCTCGGTGTTTAGTCATGCCGGCCACATGACCACGGAAACGTCTTCGGACAGCGCTGGCTCCTCGGCTTTGAAACGGATGAGCACCGCAACCCTAGAGTCGGACTCGACTAGCTTTCGAGCAAGGGAACCTTTACCTTTAAATGCAAGGTATTGTGTCGCAAATTGAACTCTGACAAAACTGGGGATGAGATCCAGGTGCGGAAAGGACCTGTGTGCCTGTGTTCCCCCTGGCCAGGCCTAATGGCCATCTTGTCTTCTTTCTTTCACAGCACAAGTATTCCCGAGCCATGACCGCCCTGGAGCAGATGAGGAAGAAGCCCTTCGGTATCCAACCCGTGGTGAAGAACAAGCCCCCCTCGATGCTCGAGATCACGTAGCCGGGCCAGGAGGGCCTCCCGCCTTATTCTCTGGGCAGGGGAACGTAAAGCAACCGACTTCCAAATGTGACTCAAAATGCCTTTATTTTCAGGAAGGGCACACACAGCTCAATAAATCTCTGGAGGATTCTGTTGATTAACGCTTTATGCTTGGGCGCGAATCGCATCTCATCTCATCCATTGGTATCAGTTAAGGGCAGGGCTTTTTTGGTAGAAAAAGCCCAGCAGGACCTCATTAGCATATTAGGCCACAACCCTGGCCATGCAGCTCATTAACGTATTAGGCCACACCCCCACGCCTTCCCTTGGCTTTCCCAGGCAAGCCCCCCCCCCCCAAGGGAAGGCAGTTTAAACAAGCCGGGGGAG